TTCATCCTTCTCCCTGACCAAAATATCAGTTCTGTGCCTCTCGATGCCTTTGATTCCTTATTCTATAGAGTTCAGCAATTTAACACTAAACACAGATGTCATTTTTAGGGTCAGATCTTAGAGAAACATTTCCACAATAGCACTATAGGGGCTCCATTCCAACTGCCAGTATAGAATAAGAGTGTTAAAAAAGAACCCCTTTGATTAAACTGTTTAGAAATAGGTGATTAGATTAATATGAATTGGTTGGAAATGTTATAAATTTTGACATTTTTCCAAGAGGATGGCTTTCATTCCAGAACTGATTTCTGTGAGATCAGCCTCCTTTTAATATACTTGATCCCTTTAAAGCCATCTATAGGATTAAGCGAAACAAAATAATGATACTTTTATTATTTCCATAGCCTTTAACTTTTTTTTTATTATAAGATTTTATTTATTTATCTTCAGAGGGGAAGGGAAGGAGAGAGGGAGAGAAACATCAATGTATGGTTGCCTTTCGTGAGTCCCCTGTTGGGAACTGGCCTGCAGGGAACTGGCCTGCAACCCAGGCATGTGCCCTGACTGGGAATTGAACTGCAATTGTCTGGTTCACAGGCCCGCGCTCAATCCACTGAGCTACACCAGCCAGGGCTCCATAGCCTTTAACTTTAAAAACAATAGTATTTTTAGCTCTAACATTTCAAATACACAATATTCATTAATGTTCAGTAAAGTAGCCTGGAACATTTTTAATGTTTCCTTAAGGTTTGGAATGACTGTATATTTGGAAATTAAGCAGTGCTGCACTACAGGGAAGATCTGGTAAATATTCTAATGTATATTTAGAGTTACCAAAGCAAAGTACTTTTACCTTTCTTTAACCCTGTGTGTTAGAGCGGTTGCATGCTCTCCTGGTTTCTTAAATCACAGTGTTAAGCTGTGAATTTGTATTCAATAATGACTTAGGAGAAACTCTTTCATTTATTACTTTATGTATTAGACAGTTTTTGTTGTAAGCAGATTCAAACTAGATAGTCAATAAAACACTTTTAATTCCCCCCCATAAAGGAAAGAAATTCTGACAGGTTATAACATGGATGAACCTTGAAATCATTATGCTAAATGAAATAAGCCAGTCACAAAGAGACAAATATTCTAATATTCCACTTATATGAAGTACTTAGAGTCATTGACATCATAGAGACAGAAAGAATGGTCATTTTCAGTAGATGGATGGAGAGGGGAATAGTGGGTTATTGTTCAATGGGTATAAAGTTTTATAAGATGAAGATTGTAGTGATGGATGGTGATGATTGTTGTACAACATTATCAATATATTTAATACCACTGACCTTCACACTTAAAAATGGTTAAGATGGTATATATTATGTTTATTTTGCCACAATAAAAAAAATGAAGTACGGATACATGGTACAACATGGATGAACCTTGCAAACATGCTAAGTGAAAAAAAATCAGTTACAAAGGACCACATATTGTATATTCCATTTATATGAAGTGTCCAGAATAGAAAAATCTATAGACACAAGATAAATCAGTGGCAAGTTGCCTAGGGCTGAGGTGTTTGGGGATATCAGAAGAGTGGGGGGCATGGGGTTTCTTTTCAAAGTAGTAAGAATATTCTAAAATTGACTGTGAGTCCTGGCTGGTGTGGCTTGGTGGATTGAGCACAAACCAAAGGGTCATCAGTTCGATTCCCACTCAGGGCACGTGCCTGGGTTGCAGGCCAAGTCGAATGAGAGGCAACCACACATTGATGTTCCTCTCTTTCTCCCTGCCTTCCTCTCTCTAAAGATAAATAAATAAAATCCTTTTTAAAAAGCCAATCTTAAAAAAACACTAAATTCAATAAAAAAAAAAACCCAAACTAACAAAGTTTACTAAGAACAGTTCTTAGGAAATAAAGCATAACAAATAAGCTTTATTTGTTAAAACTACCCATCACTTTACAGGTGCATAGGTTGGCTGTAAACGTTTGAGTCCCTTCTCATAGTAGGACCTAATAATAAGGAATTACTCCATTCCGATTTTACCTAGAACATTCGTTCATTGAGTTTCCATTATATTCTCAAGGAGTTCACCAGAGTACAAATAATATGTGTAAATAAATAATCATAATACAAAATACAGTGTATATGGAAAGTGGCATTAGCAAAGGACAAATGAAGGTTATGAGAATTCAAAGACAGGACTAACCACCAATGAGGGAGGGATGGTCAGTGAAAGTCTCATAGAAAGGATGGCATCTGAACTCAGTGATGAATGATAGGTGGGCTTTTTCAAAAACGAAACAAAACAGGAGTAGAAGAGGAAATGTTCTAGACTTAGAAAATAAGAAAGGCAGTCTCGGGTGTAGAAAAGTCTTAAGCATGTTTGGGGAACACTAATTGGCTCCATTTACTGGACTGTAAACCAGAAAGGTAGATCAAGGTCAGATCATGCAGGATCCTGAATATTAAGCTAAACAGCAAAGGATGCTGATGAACTGAAGCAGGGCAATGATGTGATCCTACCTACTTTAGAAAAGTCTATGTAAAGTGAATTGGAAGAGAAAGAAAGTAGAGTTTTGATAGGAAGTTACTGCAATATTCCAGGGCAAGATAAATAGAAGCCAGAAAGGGGTTTTGGAAGTAGGAATGGAGGTGAACAGGAGGAGAGACTGAAGGGAGTTACATTAAAGGAGTAGAATCAATAAGCCTTAACAATTAAGAATGTATGAGTAGGAAGTCTAGTAGGCCCCAGTCTAGGTGATGGGGGAACAATGGTACGAATGACAGAAGAATATGTCAGAAAGAAGTTCTAGATTGTTTGTTTGGGGGACGTGAAGGAGAGGTAAGGAGTATGATAAGTTTGGTTTCAGACTTGAGAAATACGATCTTCAAGTGGTTACAAATATGGCACCAAGGATGAACACAGGGGTCTGGATTTCATAAACACAGACACAGAAAATCAAGTTTTCATTATACAGCAAGGTTTGATGCTTTAAGAATGAACAAAATTGCCAACAAAGAGAAGCATTAATAAAATCAGTTTGAAATACTACATATAATGCTTGCTATGGTTCAGTTTAGTACATATTACAAATATTTAGAAACTTTAAATTATTCAGATCTCTTAGGTTTTACCCTAGCCTAAAACAGAGGCAAAGGTAAGGAGGGCAGTTAAAATACATGTGTTCTATAAAAATATAATCTTACACCACTGATGTATCTAAAATGTCTTTCAAAAACCTAAAATCCCATACAGTCCACACTACTGCTAGAAAAAGTTTAGATGTAATTATTTATTTTTAGACCAGAAGTTAAGAAATGTTTCTAAAGTCACACATAAAGGCAGAACTTAGAATAAATTTCAACTCTCTGACTTTTCAGTTTTGTATTCAATTAAATAACAAATTACCTACTAAATATACATTATATACTATCATAACAGACTCAAGGTATCTATGAATCTTCTCATTTGTCAACCAACCAGAAGTAAGGCACAAAGAGATTAAGTCATGAATAATGTTAGAACTGGCTCTAGAACCTATGGCTCCTGTCTCCCAGTCCACTAGTCTTTCTCAGTATCCAAGGGTACCTTTCCTGTACCTTGACAGTTTGTAAGAATAATTATACAGCTACTAAACAGATTGTTTTAGCTTTCTACTTGGGAAGAAGCTATGGCAGTGGAACTATTTTATGGCTAATTTCCAAGCCCTTGACCTACAAAAGTTCTTCACTATCACAATACAAAAGATCTGGATCTGATTACCATTCCTAGACTCTCACTTCTGGCTAAGGAAATGCTACTGCAAAAGCACAGAATGAGTCTAAGAGAAGTTTGAGGAAAATTTTTGCCCACTCAAAAAACATCTTTGAATGACCGATGAGATGTGATGATAGTCTCACTGCAAAAAAGAAAATAATTATAAAATAAGAATAAAGTAGAATACACAAATGGCTCAAATCATGTCTAGGAACAAATAACTGGATTAAGGAAATATAATAATTATGTAACTGGCATACAAAATTTAAGAGTTTTATTACTTGGCCAAGCCAGAGAAAATTTCTAGGTAACCAATAACAAAATGACAAGGCTTTCCTCTTTTTTCTCCTTCACTTTCCATTTATTTTTATTTTTTATTTACTCTTTATTGTATTTTTTCAATTACCATTTAGTCCCCTTATGCCCCCCTCCAGCCGGCCCTTTCTTTTTAAACTCACTGCCTCCAGGTAATACCCATTAACAAGGACAAGAATTATCCTCTTGCTGGAGTATTCTGCATTATCAGGGAACCAGAAACCTGAACTGCTTCTCTAGCGAGTTATCTCAACAAACTTGGGTATGCTTGCTGTTCTCGTCCTGGGAAGGTGGTCTTCCATAAATTCCTTCACAGAAGGGGAAGAGCTATAAAGAGCTGTCTCTTTACACATCAGCAGGAAAGAAAGTTAACTGGACTCTCCTTAACAGATGATCACTGTCAATGTCTCCAAAAGGTGGACCTGACAACAACACAGGCCTCTGGGGAGGCTGTAAACTAAACCTGGCTGTGAATTAGGTCAACTTTAAGAGTTACTGCTCAACAGTACCACGGTAGGTGAACACCTAACGCTTACTCATCCCAAAACCACTCAGGTCTCCAAATCCCAGGCTAAGGACCCAAGGCTCAAGGGCACTGGATTCAGCTGCAACCATCCAGCTCAACAAGGTTATACTCGGGTAAAAGCAATCCTCTCCTTACTCTAAGTAGGAACCAGGGAGGCAAAGCCAGATAGTGGGTACTGCCCAATCACTGCACAACCAAACAAGCACTCTAGGGCCGCTGCCACCACCCAGAAGTAGAGCAGATGCCCCAGGTTTTTAGCTCACAGCAGCTGGCATTGTTTATGCTTTTTCACCGGCCTTAGCCACTGATAAGCCGGGAAAGTTCCCTGAACTGTCCACCAGGGCTTCCGGCCTGGGCTCGGGATGCTGGACTCCCCCCTCCCGCCCCGCACCCGCAGTTTGACACTTACGCTCCCCAGGCAGGGAGAGGCCCCTGAAGTCCGAGCAGAATCAGCAGGAATACCAGGCAGGCGACAGCAATGGTGCTGCTGGCCCGCTGGGAACCACCTCCTCCAGGGGCGGGGCCCAGAGCTCGCTGAGAGACCGCCCCTCCTGGGCCCCCATCCCGCAAACGCTAATAGTTTAAAGGGGCCGCTGCCCTTCGCCCAGAGGTCTGCAGGACTAAGGGGCCTCTTCCAACACAAAGTTTCTAAGGCAAATTAAGGACCAACCAGGAAGATTCCGCCACGGTTGGGTGGACCACGTTTTTGGTGGCAATACAGGTAATGTTCCAAAAACAAAGGAGATGATCATTTCCTCGTATCACAATCCTAATCTTTCCTCCAGTGGTGAAAAAATTAATGCAGGAAATAGCCTAAGCATCCGGGTAAATATATAGACTCCATTATGTAAGCTGCTTACTTCTTTAACCTGAGAGTCAGTGTTCTTCAACTCTTAACTGAGAGGCCCAGAAAAGATTTCTGGCGGCTGGTACAGCTTCACTCACCCTTTCACTGACTCCTGTCTCTTCTCTCAATACAAGGAATCCCACACAATGATACAAGATGGGTAGGAAGGTAACAGGAGATGAAATAGAAAAATAACACTCTTCTTGTGAGTAAAATGTAATCTCTCAAGATTGGCCAAGATTCATTACAAATCTATGTATCTAGATAAAGAATCTTGCATGCAAATTCAATTTTCATTCATCTAATTTAATATGAAGAGTTGAGAAAATTCTAGGAGACACTGAATTAATAATATCTCAGAGAGTTAAGTAGTGGTCTCTGAGCTCTCCACAGGTTATCAATGAGTTTTAATTTTTTTTCACAGAAGGAATTTTTCAATCTCAGTTTACAAGGTTTTGACTGCATTTTATGTCTCCTTCATATGTCAAGAAAGATTTGTATGTGTATTTATTGATTTTTAGAGAGAGGAAGGGAGAGGAGAAAGAGAAACACTGATTTGCTATTCCACCCATTTATGCAGTCATTGGCTGATTCTTGTATGTGCCATGACCACGGATCCAATTTGCAACCTTGGCTTATGTGGATGATGCTTTAACCAACTGGGCTGTCTGTCCAGGGTGTGTGTGTATGTTGTGTGTGTGCTTTTAATCCTCACCAGATGACTTTTGTTCATTGCATTTAGAGAGGGAGAGAGAAAAAGAAAAAGGGCAGAGGGGTGGAGTGGAAGAGAGATAGACAGGCAGACATGGAAGTGAAAAACACTGATTAGTTGTCTTCTCATACACACCGACTGAGATTGAGCCCACAACCAGGGTATGTGCCCCGGTGGGAAGAAAACCCAGCCTAGACCTTTTGGTCTACAGGAGGACACTCCAAACAACCATGCCACACAGGCAAGGGGTGTGTGTTTTTTAAGCCTGTATTATACTCCATTTAAACTTAATAAACACAGCTTACTAAAGCCTTTAATCCCCACCAGACCAATAAGGGACTCAATTTAGTGAAACTAAAGACCATTAATAAATGCCCTAACACCTATCATCACAAACAGAGGTTTGAATGGAAATTTAGATTCCAAAGGACAGGCATTAAAACTGCTCTACTAGGGAGCAGACCCAGGTTACCTTTATTTGGAAGGTCTTAAGAGAATTTAAGGCTAAGTAAATGATACGTTTGAGTTAGGTAATTAAGATTTTCTTTCCAAAGGGGAGGAGGGATTAAGAGAATAAATGGTAATGGTAAAAAAGTATAATAAATTCAAAAAACAATTTTTCTCATTATATCTTCATCAAGCACATCACACCATTCTGAGGGTAATAATGGTTTGTAGAGCAACCTTCCATTAGATTGTGAAAACTTCAATGGCAAGGACTGGAATGTATTGGGCTGGCCAAAAGTCCATATGGTTTTCTCCATGAAATAAGACACATTTTTCATTTTCATCAATGACTTTATTGATTTGGATATTTTGAGTATGTCAGCTATCTCCACATAGTATAACGTTGATTATTCACAACTAATGTCTTGATTTGATCGCTATCAACTTCAACTGGTCTACCCTACTGTGGAGCATCGTCCAGCAAGAAATCTCCAGCATGAAACTTCGCAAACCACTTTTGACACGTTCAATCAGTCACGGTGCCTTCTCCATGCACCACACTTTTTTTTTTTTTTTTGCATTTTAGTTGTGTTTTTATATTTCTTGAAATAATAAAGCATAATATGCTGAAAATGTTGTGTATTTTCTTCCATCTTCAATATTAAAATGGCTACACAAAAATCCACCAATTTTGAGAAGTTTTTCTTAATGCATGCTGATATGACAGCTATCACAATAAAATCTAACGAAATTGTTTCAAATGAAGTTAAAGAAAACTAAGCCTGAAGCCATCTTATGAAAAGAAACAAACTTTTTGTCCAACCCAGTATCTTAATCATCTTTTTTTAGTGCAAAAAATGAATACTGAATATTTGTCATAAAACATATGACCAACACTTTGACATAGGAATCCCAATCATTTCAATAAGCAGAGTATAGTGCATACACGCAAATGATTAATACCCACTGCAGTGCTTTATTAGTGAATTAAAAATTTAGAGAAAAAAATCTGTTGACTGTACAGTTCAGTCAGTCTCTGAAATCAGAACAAGATTATTATCATAAGGATTTCTATCTTTTGCCCCAAATTCATATATATTTTATATAACTACAGTTTTTCCAAATAATTTTAGATATCTTTCCAGATATCACAGTCCAAACATAGCTTATCTTATTTTGGTTACTGCTTCTTTTCTTTACGATAGGATGAAGTGACTAAACTGGACATGTAAAACTTTCATAATTCAACAAATTAAGGTAGTAATATTCTCCTTAAAATGGCAAAATGAAAACTTTAGGAAATGATTTAGTAAATATTACCTATGCATATGAGTAAAACATAGAAGAGAACATGTGAAAATGATAACAATTCATGTATTATGTAGGTGTCATTTCTTATGTTAAAAAAAAGAAACCTTTCCCTACTGTAAGATTTTTTTCTGCAACAAATTAACCACAGGAAAATATTTAGTGCATACATAACCAACAAAGGAAAAAGAAGTTTTAAGAAATACTGGTATTCTTTATTAGAGCATATTCAAGGAAGGAAACAAGCCAAGTCCATGGTTAAGAGCATGGACTCTGGAATTAGAGTGCTTAGTTCAAATCCTGATTGTGCCATTTATTAGCTGTGTGGCTTTGGACAAATTCCTACCTCTCTGTACTTCTGCCTTCTATATGTAAACTGGGAAGAGTAATACTACCTATCTCATTGTGTTATTAGAATTAAATGGCTTCAGTGTTTTATATTTTAAAGTACCCACAACAAAATACAGTGGTATATAAATACAGTGTCTAAAATAGTGGTATATATGAATATTTGGTAAATAATACATACAGTGTTTAACAAATACAGGGTGGGGCAAAAACAGGTTTACAGTTGTAAGTATGGGAAACATTATTCCTGTATTATTATTTATTAATTATTGGATCTTTTCCATACACACAACTGTAAGCCTAGTTTTGCTCCACCCTGTATTTATTGTGTAGCTTTTCTATCACATTCCTTTTTTTTTTTTAAGATTTTTATTTATTTATTTTTAGAGGGGAAGGGAAGGAGAGAGAGGGAGAGATATCAATGTATGGTTGCCTCTCATGTGTCCCCCGCTGGGAACTGGCCTGCAACCCAGGCATGTACCCTGACTGGGAATCGAACCACAATGCTTTGGTTCACAGGCCTGCACTCAATCCACTGAGCTACACCAGCCCGGGCTACATTCCTTTTAAAACTAAAATGCAGCCCAGGCTGGTGCTGCTGAGTGGAGTGACTGTTGGCCTGTAAACCAAAGAGTTGCGGGTTCAGTTCCCAGTCAGGGCATGTGCCTGGGGCTGCAGGCCAGTCCCTGGTAGGGGGCACCTGAGAGGCAACCACAAATTGATGTTTCTCTCCCTCTTTCTCCTCCTTCCCTTCCCCTCTCTCTAAAAATAAATAAAATCTTAAAAAAAAAACCCACTAAAAAGCAAGTGTATAGCTCCCTCCCACTGACTGTTCCTAACTCCCCATGTTTTGGTTGTTAAAAGCAGCCTTACTGAGGATCAGGGAGAGAGAGAAGACACTCCTTGAGCTAAGAGCTTTTAAGTAAGGTTTACTGAGGTATAACTTAAAGTAAAATCCACCGTTTAGTACACAGTTATATGACTTTTGACCAACATAGGGCCATGTACTCATCACCACAAATCAAGAACAACTCCAGTAGCCAAGAAATTCCCTGTGCCCCTTCGCAGTCAACCTCTCTCCCCCAGGCAATAAGTGCACTGATTCATATTCTGGCTCCACAATTTCGCCTTTTCCACAATATCATATAAAAAGAACCATTCAGTAGGCAGTCTTTTGAGTCTGGCTTTTTTTTTTTCCACTTAGTATAATCCAACTGAGATAACCCATGTTGCTGCACATATCAATATGTTCTTTTTTATTGCTAAGCAGTATTCCATTGTATGATCCAACTTATTTTGTTCATTCACTTTCCAGTTGAAGAACGTGAACTGCTCCCAGTTTTTATCAATTAAGGAAAAAACTGCTACAGATTTTTATATGAGCACAAGTTAGCGTTTCTCCTGGGCAAATACCCAAGAGTGGGAATGCAGGGTAGTATAATAAGTGTATGTTTAATTTTACACATAACTGGAAAACTGTCTTCCACAGTGGATGTATGAACCATTTTGCACTCCTCGTCCACCAGTAATGTATGAGAGTTCAAGTGTAACTGGATTATTACTTGGCACTAATTTCCAGTATGGATCTCTAGTTTTTTACCTGTAAATTGAAGCCAGTTCTTTCTGCGATTTATTACTGATGCTTTACACTGTATTCTTCTATTTATAAACCAGTCAATGGTCATTTGGTAAGAATCTTAGATGCTATTTTATAACACTTTCAAAGGAAAACATCAATGCAAATCACACTTTCAAATCCCATCCAAGAATAGTTAATCTGGTCATTTTGTCTGCATCAACAAGCTACGAGGATAAACAAAATGTACCCTAGTAAGTACAACAACCCAAA